ATTATATTCATAAAATTAATTATTCTTATTTTCTTTATTGTATTCATAGAATTTGTGGTTTATTTCGTCAAGGAGCGTGCGTAGAAAACCCATGCACTTGAAGACAATTGGATTGTGTTTGCTAACTTGTCTAAGGTCCTTGCCATTAAACCCACGCATTAAAATCTCTAGGAATAAGATTTTAAAATCTTAGTTAAACTTTTTTTTATTCTCGTTTTTCTGTTTCTTACTATGTGAGAATCAACATTTTCACTATTCATTCGAAGGATGATGCCTTTTGATGTTTTAGGAATTAAACAGTCGCCGGCTGCGAAATGGGGCGGTGAATGGCCAGCATCCAGCAGCTTGAGGTTAAATTCCATGTCCAAACCAGTCACTACCCTTTTATTCCTTTATTTTTTTTGAAATAATTTGATTTTTTTAAAACAAAAAAGTTTAAATAAATTCGACTCCAACTACCATCACAAGTTAGGGCATTGATCTCTAAACCATAAATCGCTCGTAAAACTCGTACAGATTATCCACCAACACAATTCTCATATTAACAACGGGATTCAACACAATCTTTTATAAGAAAGTGACTAGTTCTTACTGACCGAATCAACTTATGTTGGTGAACAATTTGACTTTTGTTCTTGCAATCAGCTTTTTATGTCTTCGTTGTTTATGCAATGCGAGGGTTTAAGCAGCCAATAATTAAGATAGGTGTACTCCTCAAAAAAAAAAAAAAAAAGAAAAAGAAAAAACGTAAGCAAGACAATCACAAGTATCTTTAGGTTTAGCTGATTCTGTTGGGGAAGGATTCTTGGTAGGTCAGATGTCATAAATCAAGTTACTCCTGTCTACTACTAAAATAATCAAACTCGATCAAATTAAATAAAGTATCTATCTAGTCGTCTAACCCAAGCAGCAATTAAATAGGTACCGGTTCACTTTGTTAATTAGATGATGATTGAGGAAAAGAATATGATGCCCCCAGTCATATGTGGGCTTTGACCGACAGAATGCGTATTGTTGCCACGTACATGCTTTATGTGACCGAAGGGCTCAAGAATTTCCTTCCATCCAAAGAAACCCGATGTACATGCTTTCTCTTGTTGATTATGGATCGACTTTAAATCACTACTCCAACCTGTTTGTGATCCATTTTTCTTGACCCAAATACTTGTTAATTGATCGAATCAATTTGGAGCAATTTGCTAGGACTTCGATTTTAATTATTACTTTCTTTTCATGGCATGAGCAAGGTGTACTTGTGCAGCCCTCTTAAATTGGGCTCTGAACCACCATGCTAAAGCAGGATGAAATAAAGGGGAGAAAAAGGGAAAAAAAAAAAAATTGTAGAGGAGCGTATTTTTTATTTACAAACCAGAACTCTCATGAATTTGAATATTCAATAAATGTTTACGAGTATTTTTCTGAACATACAATGAAAAACTAAAGTATAAATATTTATGGATATGAAAAAGTAAATTCAAACCCGAACGCTCATATTCAATATGTATCCGTGAGTATTTTTATAAATATAAAATGAAAAACTAGAGTAAAAGTATTTTAAAAATATATAAAGTTCAAAAATAATATCACACCATCCAATTTTTGTTTTCAAATAATAAAATTAACATTTAATAAGTTGAATGCAATAGAAAGCCGGAATTAGATGAGGGATGGGCTTATCTAATCGATTGAGAGAAAACGCAATCCAACGGTGCAACCCCCCCCCCCCCCCCCCCCCCACCATCCGCTGAAGTTCCTCCTCCGACAGCCAACTAAGCGGGAGCTAACGAGTCAGCATGCAAGAGAAAAAAACTGAAGGAGGCCAAGAAAAATAAAGGAAAAGATTTAGTGTAACAAGTCAGCGTGCAAGAGGTTCGAAGCGGCTACCCGTATCTTACGTGCAGGAAAGTAGGAATAAAGCAGATTGGCATGGAGATATACGTGCACATATATTACAGTAATTTTCATGGAGATATACGTGCACATGGGGATTGGGAATTAGGGATGAGTAAATACAGTAATTTTCATATATTGAATTGGTCTATGCAAATAAAATTCATACATACAAATAAATCATATATATACTTTCGGTGTATATATTTTCGCGATTGAATGAATGAGACACATGAATCAAAAATAAATTTTCATCTATTGAATTGGTATATACTGTCACAGTGTATACAAGATAAATCATCTAAATATACATTAAATTATGTAGTAAAATATACATATATATAAAACAATTGCATAATCGCGTCAGCATTTCATTGTACCTATTCCAATGGCATACATGGATGGATACGTGTGTGTATGTGTGTCTATATGTATATATACATGTATGTATGTATATATGTGAAGCTGGGGATTCAAGTGAGGCGGTAGGACGACGTCAATCACCGTCCCTCTTCTCTCTGTGCATCCAGCAAACTAACTGCTGCTGCTGTCTTCTACTCGTGTACTTTTCCTACTTTCACTGCTCCACCGCATGCCACTTCACATTGTACTTCACGTTTATTAACTAAAAAAGGGAGTTACAGTACTCGTATAGTATCCTAGTCACCACCCTCCTCCGAAAAAAGCAAAAAAAGAAAAAAGAAAAAAAAAAAGATAGAAAACAGACCTCAAACTCTACAAGTCATCCATCACATCGTCACTCGCCTTTAAACGCATGCATGGTCATGATCCACCTCTTCACTATTTTATCTTCTTCTCTCTGTATACATGGTTATCGTAGGAGCTGCCAACTGTTGTTGCAGTGCCTTTGATTTTTGAACTTTTTGAAGATTGCTTTTTCACATTATTGTGTCAAGGATGGAGTGGTGGCAAAAGCTCAGGAGGGCTTGGCTTCTCTTCACTGCCAGAGTGTTCAAAGCACGTAAAGATGGTTAGCTGCTCTTTTGATGCTTCAATTGGTAAAATGGATATGGTTTTCACTTGGGTTTCCAACGATTTGCTTTGATTAGCCTCCAGAGGTGCTTTGATGGTTAATTTGTTGTCAATTCTTTGATTTCTGATTGTTTGATTTCCTCTCTGATATATTACTGTTGATACTGATTTAGTTGGTTTTTAAGAACACTGATCAGTTAGTGACCCCTGAATGTGAAATTTCATTTCGCATTAATCTCACATTGATACTGCCTTCGCTGCTGCAGAGAAGTTGCCACCCTAATTTTATGGTAAAAAAGAATGTATATACATACATATATATTTTATATATATATATACACACATACACACACACACATAAAATTTGGTTTTCAGGAATTTATTTACCTTTTCTTCTCCAGTTTTTTTAAAAAAACATGCATGCATAGGATCGTAAGCCATCGGGATATATGGGGTCTTCGAAGCCGCTAAAAGTTCTAGGGCAAAGCACTCTTGCTTTCTAGTATTTTACGTATAATGAATTACACTTGCTGTTTAATTTTTTTTAATTACGTAAAACTGTCTAATTATCTTATTGCTTTCAACTAGATGACTTATTTGTTACTTAAAGGCAGTGCAATTGCATCTTTTCAGGTTAGCTTCAATCTTTTCTTATACCAAAACAATTGGAAGTTTTTATTACGAATTCGAAGGAATAAAAAGTGTACTAGCTAGGTGCCGTTTGATTTTCATTTTGTGAACACAGTTTGTGAAAAATAAACTTCTAGTTGAATGAAAATTGTAGGATACGAATCCTTGTAATTTACTTGGCTAGCTTGGAGCTTATATCAAGAACTAATTCCTTCCTTCTTTGCTGTTGTGTTTTGGCTCCAATAATTTGACTTGAGATCTTAACAATCTTAATGGAAAAGGGAAAAAGGTCTTTCTTCTTATATCCTCCATAGGATGGTCTCCCAACTCAAAATTCTCTCCTTCTTTTATGTAATTATTAGCTCCTTTTTTAATGAACATTGATCTTCAAATGGAGTATTAATGAAAGCTTTTACTCGGGAAATCCAGGAGAGACAGAAATGGTGACATGCTCGCTTTCAGTAATTATTCTTCTGCTTGCTTCTGTAATTATTCTTCTGTGATTCATTAATTAGATGATGGTTTTGCTTTTAGTAATTATCAATGGTTTTAGAAAAGAAAACATGTATCACATACATGCTCAGAGATGATGAAAGTGTTTGCACTGTTATATCTTAGCGAGGATGGATCAAGAAAATCAGCAAATCCAATCCTTGATTACCTAGTTCTCGCAAACAACAACCTTGACCATTTTGTGAAACATGCATATATCCACACACAATATCATGGGAGGACTAAGATTCCTATCTCGACGTTCACCATAGATGTTACTTCAATATTGCAGTGACCAGATTATTGACATCAAGCCATTGGCCTGGTTAATGCAGGAGGAAATGGGAAACGCAGGAAGAACATTACTGGTAGAGTTGAAGCCAGAAGTTCCAATAGCAGTGATACCCAGACAGGACTTTTAAAGCTTCGGGATGATGTAGCAAATTGTGAATATCAAGACGTTCATGTTATGTGGAATATAGTGCTACAGCGGGGTACTTTGGACGTGAAAGAAGATCTGGAAGAGGCGGAAAGCGCTTGTTCTTCTGAAACCAAAGAACAGCAGCAGCCAGAAAAACAGTCCTGGAGGGCCTTCTTATCTCCTCATTGCTCATCAGCCCACCTCCGTTGCTTTGCTCAGTAGTTGAATGCTACAAGTATAAATTGGATGAATTAAAATATAAAGCAACTGGTATGAGATCTATGGACTTGTCATTTACTGACTTGGTTTTTCATTTATGACTTCTCTTTTTGGCATTTACTGACTTGGATCAAATATGAGGGATTTCTATGCGTGCTGTGTTTGTACATATGCGGGCACACATACATGTATGTATGTATGTATATAAAATGTGAATTTGAGGCACAATTTTGCTTACGTTGTAATGTACATAAGAAGCAATACAAATGACATTGATCATATGTGCTATTTCTATTTTTTCGAAGAACTTGATGATATGGCTGCGCACTTCAATATAAATGACATTGTTCATATGTGCACAATCAATCAAAATGCGCATTAATACTTATATATATGACATTGATGTTCCTATCCCAACATCTAGTTTACAAAATTGCAGAAACTGAGATGTTCCTATCTCAACATTAAGAGCACATGACATGAATGCTCCAAAGATCTTCAGCTGCATATGCTCTATATATAGGAAGGTAAAAATTACTCGAAGAAACATCCAGAACAAATAGGAGAAGGAACCATTTGGCATAAAGGAATGTCTACCTGAATTGCGATGACTGTATAGCTAAATAGGTTCACCCAAGTCTTGGAAACTTTTTCTGTCTCACAATGCGAACGCATAGATGGTCAAGCACCGACCTGGGGCACTAAATTTAAGAGTGGATTCCATCACATCTGCACATCCCAAGCCTCCATCTTCACCTTTCCAAACCTTAAACTTGACAACTGTCAGCTCTTCAGGGCATTCATCTGCTTTGGAAACAAGACAGAAGTCACCTCCTCCTAGATCAACAAAATGAGAACTAGCACGGGGCAGTATGCTGCTGCTGTCCAACAAGGTCAGCCTTCTGGCAACTTTCCCACGAACAATCTCAAAAGCGACTACAGAGGGACGACTGAAATCAGGCACGTTGCACAACAAGAAACCCTCGTAGAAGATGGCATCTTCAACAAATGGAAATGGATGACCAATATCACCACCTAAATAGTACTTATAATCTTCATGGCTTTCCATGAAAAAGTACTTTTCTTCAGAGCTCATAATATCACTATCATAGAAACCAGCAAATAAATCGCAAGCTTCCCATGTCCAATTTTCAGTGTCAAAAGCACACGAGCCAGCCAGATTTGAAACACATAATTTCTTATCAATAACCACGTATGAATAAGGGAAAGCACCAAAAGTAAATGGACTCAAGAAAGGGGGGCCATCTAGACCAGTCCATTCATTTTTTGAAGGATCATAAACCTCAAAGACTGTTTCACGTCGTCCATAATCTAAGATTGGGGGCCGAGAGAGGGCATAGATAAGACCACCAATTTCTACTACAATGGGAGAAAACTTCCCCCATTTCATTGAGCTTCTTGTACCAGAATGCAGATAACTTTTTCCTCCAAGAGGGAGGTGCGTGAACCTCAACTCTCGGACCAAAGAATTTTGGTCAATACTGTCCTCGCCAAAAATTTCACCACCAACACCATAGAGAATACCTCCTGCACAACAAAAGCCCATAGCATGAGGTAAGGTCGTGTCACACCATTCAACCACATCATGGAGCCGATTGTCGTGCTCAGATGAACCGCCAGACAAATGCGATAATGAAACAGACTTCACAGCATACCACATTGGATTGAGAGGAAATACAACGGGCCGGAAACACACGAAGAGATGCTTGTCAGGTTCGAATTTTTGCCTCTTTGGTATGGGTTGGGAAGATAGCATATCAGCTTCTTGTACACTCATGTTTAGCCTGACAAAATAATATACATATTCATTGATATATCATCTTCAACTCAACAAGCTATGCATAGAAAAAGGACATAAAACTGCAACGAAAACTATCAAATGGAGGAACAGAAAAGAGTAACCATTAAACAATTGCTTATTCATCCACTCCATCAGACCAGATCAGATTTCAAAATGAAAAATTACATAAAAATAACCACCAAAAAAGAAAAAAGAAATCTACTTTGCTTGAAAGAGCTGGACAAAGGGAAAAAGGCAAAATGCAAGAGTAACTGTCAACGAAAGAACAAACAAAAGGAATAAACAACTATATTATATTCGCTGTCTCATCTCCTAAAGAAATTAACTCAGATTTCCACAAAAGATTGAAAAAAAAAGAGTAAAATACCAGATAATAGAAAAGCAAACAAAGGAGAATACTTAAGCTGTAAAAGCACAAATAAACGAGAAAATAAAACTGCAACAAGCCTATGCGTCAACGAAATAGCAAACAGGAATATCAGAAGTAAAATAACGAAAAAGGGTGTAACCAACAATATCAAATTCGCTCTCTGATCTCCTCCGTAACCAAGTCAAAATTTAAGAAAATTAAAAATAAAAATATCAGATAATAATAGAACGGAAGGAGAAAAAAAAAAGGAGAGGCCTTTAGCCGGAAGAGCTCAAATAAAACGAAAAAAAAAAACTATGCACAACGAAATAACAAACAGGAATATCAGAAGTTTGTTAGCAGATATCTCTACAATAATAAAACTAAAGTGGAAGCAAATTGGGTGTGTTTGAATTAGAAAGATTTGAAATAAAAAAAATTACTTCACAAATTTCAATCACTTTTTATTTTCTTAATCATCTTTTTATCTCACATACATCACATCACAAAAAGTGCTAAAAGTGCTACAGTAATTATCTTAAATAAATTATTTAAATAAACTCCTATCCAAACAAACTCAATTGTTTTCACTTTTTTAGATTTTTTTTTTAACTCTTCACCACCAATCACTTTAACTCAACCACTAACGTACATGACCAATGAAATACATGTTTAAAACACAACTGATTACAGATAGTTGTTTGATTTTCATGATATTTTGTCGTATTAACTCTTTTAATTTACTACTACTAAATTTTGTTGTCAAATAATGAAAGTTCACAGCCAAATAATTTTTTTTTATATCACTTGCATACATGTCGAGTGCGTGGATTACTAGTTTGAATCGATGGAAGACAATAGATAGATCTGAAGATACCTCTTGCAGAAGCGGTTGAGTGGGGAAAAACAAAAGAAGGACGCTGATTTCTATTGCAGCTTTGAATTCCTAAATTTCCCCTTCCTCGGACTGACATGTTGTTATAAGCCGTCTGCCACAAGGCACCTCGCCCACCGCCTAATGTTTATGGTAATATGTTGGGCTCCTTCTCCTTTTCTGGATTGGGCTTTTTGTAGGGTCAAATGGCTTTTAATCCTCGGGATTATGACTTGTTAATTGAGTTGGATCAACCTAATCTTTACGGTCGGTAAAGCACTTTCCTGATGGAGTTTGCTCCCGATATCGAAAGTGAATGACTCTGTCAAGTGTCAGCTGACGGAAAAACAATCACTTGCCTTCGCTGAACAATATAGTATTTACGAGGATATGATAAAGTTTTTATTTGCCACAAAAGATTCTAAAGATGAGTTTGACGGTAAGGAAAAAAAACTTGAAAATCCTCTCCTGATCACTCAGTATATCAATCAAATGACAAAAAATTAATCACATAAAATAGAATTATTCTCAAGACAAAAGGGGTCCTAATTACTTTTAAAAAATCCATTAACTAAGATACAAAATAAGTACTTTGCCGAAAAAAAAATAAAAATTTTTTCCCTCTCATTTCCATCTCTTGGTGGCTGACTAAGGGTTGGGCTTGTGCCCTTTATCTTACTGCCGCCGGAGAGTCTCACCTTAACGCTGCTACGACTTCCATTATTTTTTATTTTTGACAGTTATAATAGCCAAAAAGAATTTCTTTATTTTTTTTTGTTTAATGAATTTCTAAAAAATTATTCCTTAAAACTATTTTCCAATAAAATTTTATTCGGTAAGAAAGCATTTCATCTTCGTAAACACAAGTTCAAAATTAGTATTATCGTGAATAAAGGTCACAACGTCATGCAAAATAAACGAAAAAAATGTTAGAAACTGTCACCGCGAAGTAGAAACCATGGGGTCCTCAATAATTTAGCTGGATACTTGTACGATTTTAATGCACGTTACATTGGGAGAAAAATTCCCTGCATCCAAGATCCTTTAGCTTCCCTTTGTCTAAACTGTTATTAAAACAACAGTTTAGTTTCTTTTTGTTCGTTTAATTTGTCTTTCATTTTCGTCATTTTTTATTCTTTTTGTTCTGTTTCATAAATTTAGTTTTCGAATTCATGTTTAGTTTCCAAATTTTATTCAACTAAAGATTCTTTCTTGTTCTTCACTAATTTTTGAAATATATTCATAAGATTTTATTTAATATGGAAATTTACTTCAATTATTTATTTTCTTAGATAAAATTTAAAAGCTAGCTAGCACTACATGAGTGGCTGTTAAAAAAAGAACAGAAAATGACCTTGGGAATGTAATGTAATTACTAAGGGTCTCTTATTCTATTAATATTAATCTATAATAAACGTACGTCAGCAATGCCCATTCTCTCATATTTTTTGGAATCTGTAACAGAATATGATCTAAGGGACTTGAACTAAATTTAGTCGTGTCTATGTTCTTTGTATGACTATCTTATGTACTCGGAGATGTATTCGCTGCTGATTAAGGTCATTGAATGAGTTACAGTTAGTCCTAGATATACAACTTATTTAATGTGATGCTATGAAATAAGACAATGAATTTATAAATATACATGAAGTTAGTCAAAATTTTTATGAATTTGACTAACTAATGTCCAATTTCTCTTAAATGGTCATTAAATTTTAATGGGGATATTTTTCAAGTAAACTTTATACAAAAAAAAAAATAAAATCTATAACCTTTCCAAATCAATTTTTGTTCCATGAGAAATTTTGCTTCTAAATCGTAACTTAAAGGTTGGTATTACGTGAATAGCCCTCAACATTACTCGGAGTTATAGTTATGTTTGTAAATAGAAGCAAGTCATTAATATTTCTAACAAAGGGCATTCTCGAAAAAAAAAATTAAATCACTAAATCATATTGGTGCTTTTAACATAGTATAGATAATTATCAGAAGAAGTGAAATTTCTTTACCGCTTTCATATATATATATGACATCCCTTAGTTCTCATATCATTTCCTCGCAAGGAATAAGGCCAAAAGAGTTTGTTTCATAGTCATAAAACCAGCTCCTCTTTTCTCTCTATCTTACACATAGTGTTAGCTACCATGATAACTGGAAAAGATATTTATGATGTTCTTGCAGCCATAGTACCCCTATATGTTGCTATGATTCTGGCCTATGGCTCAGTTAGGTGGTGGAAAATCTTTACCCCTGATCAATGTTCAGGCATCAACCGTTTTGTTGCTGTTTTTGCCGTTCCATTACTGGGATTCCATTTCATCTCCTCAAATGATATTTATGCAATGAATTACCATTTTATTGCTGCTGATTCGTTGCAAAAAGTCGTAATTCTTGGAGCCCTTTTCGTATGGCAGGCCTTTACCAAAAATGGAAGCTTGGAATGGATGATCACTCTTTTTTCCCTTTCAACTCTCCCAAACACTCTTGTCATGGGAATCCCTCTCCTTCGAGCCATGTATGGAGATTTCTCAGGGAACCTAATGGTTCAAATTGTGGTTATGCAGAGTGTTATTTGGTACACTCTTATGCTGGTCATGTTTGAATATAGAGGAGCAAAGCTTCTCATCTCTGAGCAATTTCCTGAAACTGCGGCTTCCATCACCTCCTTTCGCGTTGAGTCAGATGTTGTTTCTTTAAACGGTCGAGAGCCTTTGCAGGCAGATGCTGAGATTGGTGATGATGGAAAGCTACATGTGGTGGTTAGGAGATCAACCTCGGCTTCCATGATATCTTCATTCAATAAAGGACTACATTCATCAGCCATCACTCCCAGAGCATCAAACCTGACTGGAGTGGAGATTTATTCTGTTCAATCTTCAAGGGAGCCAACCCCGAGGGCTTCGAGTTTTAATCAGACAGATTTCTATGCTATGTTTTCAAGCAAGGCTGGGAGTGCGAGTCCTAAACATGGTTATACAAATAGTTTTGGTGGGGAAGTATTTTCATTGCATTCCTCTAAGGGCCCTACACCAAGGACATCAAATTTTGAAGAGGAGATGATGAAGATTGGGAAGAAGGGAGGAAGAAGCATGAGCGCAGAGCTGTTCAATAATGGATTAGCTTCATATCCTCCTCCAAACCCAATGTTTTCAGGGCCTGCCAGTGGACCTAAGAGAAAGGAAAGTGGCAGTGCTGCAATGCCAAACAAAGAGCTTCACATGTTTGTTTGGAGCTCCAGTGCCTCTCCTGTATCTGAAGCACATACCAAAAATGCAGTTAATGGAGATAATTCAACAGACATAAGGGCCATTGATCCTTCTAAGCTTCAAGAGGATGTTGCTGCTTCAAGAGGTATACCAGAAATTATTGATCTTGGAAAAATAAAACTTGCAGTGCTTTGTGTTAACTAAAATGCGTTCATGCATATTTTGATAGGAATTGGAAGTCCAGCAGGGAAAACCAATGGGGATAGAGAGATTGAGATTGAGGATGCTTCAAAGTTTCCAGCAAATGCTTCTCCTTTCTCGTGCCACAAGAAAATAGATTTCGATGATGTAACTGAGGCTAAAAAGCATCAGATGCCTCCTGCAACGGTCATGAGTAGACTGATACTCATCATGGTTTGGCGAAAGCTCATCAGGAATCCCAACACCTATTCAAGTCTTCTTGGCCTCATATGGTCTCTCATTTCATTCAGGTTTCCATTTTTCTCGCCCTTTTTTTACTCTGTTGCATTATGTTTTTGCTATTGCCTTTTTTTTTTTTGGTGGTGCGTGTGTATATTTATTTTTTTCTCTACATGTGTTTACAACTTTTGTAGACTAGGAAACTTGTAAAAAGTTACACCTATTCTTGATGCTAAAGTGCTTGTAATGTATACTTAAACTGGTGATTTTATTGGACAGGTGGAACATTCAAATGCCTGCAATTGTTAAGGGATCAATATCCATCCTTTCTGATGCTGGCCTTGGAATGGCTATGTTCAGTCTAGGTATTTCACTTTGATCACTCTAAGAAGTTCTCTAGTATCTACAGTATCATGTCTTACATACAAAGCTGATAACTAAGCTACTTATTTCTTGAAATTGAAGGCTTATTCATGGCTTTGCAACCCAAATTAATAGCCTGTGGAAAATCCGTGGCCGCATTTTCAATGGCAGTTAGGTTCTTAACTGGGCCGGCAGTAATGGCAGCAACATCTATCGCCATTGGTCTCCGCGGAGTTCTTTTACATGTGGCTATTGTCCAGGTGATTTACACTTTTCATGACACTAAAATGCCAGAACTTCATTGCAAGACCAATCAAAATAACCGTACCATTTTCTTTTGATCAATAAAGATGAATTTGAAAAATTGTCTAGCTCTTCAAATATTCATCTAGTTGTCTTTGCCTTTTCTTTTTTTTTTTTTGGATTTCATTTTTCATGCAACGATGCATTCTTAATTTGGATATTCCCAACAACCATAGCTTAACAGTGAGTATCTCATGTGCCCGGTTGGTCATTATCATTTCTTTATCACGTAATGTTTCCTATGTGAACATCATTTCCATGATGACTACTTAGGTTGGAGATTAGGCTGAATCTCCAACTCAACTTTGATTTTCTTGACTTTGCAGGCTGCTCTTCCCCAAGGCATCGTTCCCTTCGTATTTGCAAAAGAATACAATGTCCATCCAGACATTTTGAGCACAGCGTAAGTTTTTCCCTAGTCAACTTTTACGTACAAATTGATTAGCTCATCCATTTACATGCATAGTTGAAATGTGAATCACACACCAAAACAATGAAACAATATATTAAGTAAATTGCTACAAGTATTAATTAGAAGATTGAAATCTTTTGCAGGGTTATCTTTGGAATGCTGGTTGCTTTACCCATCACAATACTCTACTATCTGCTTCTTGGGCTGTGAGTTTTTTCAGAATGCAGAAAAGGAAAAAGATTTTGTATCGATAAATCCAAGACAGCCTTTGTGAATCAACTATCCTATGGTTATAAAATATGCCATTGGATTCAGTGCGTGACTTGGAAACTATATGCTGCCTGCCTGCCTGCATGTTACTCTGGAATGCGTTATAGAAATTGCTTCATTTTTAAGTAGTTCTTCACAGCTCCAAAGGGTCCTCCTCTTCTACTCCTAATCTATTCTTCTTTTTAGTTTAATTGACTCAGTTAGGTTGCTAGTTAGGCAGAAAGTATCAATGTAGTATGTCTAGATGGAATGCTTAGAACTGCTGTTGTATAATTTACTGCATATTATCAATATGGAATGCATGCTTAGAACCTCTGTTTTAAAACTCGGACCGGGAACCGGTCAGGTAGCCGGTCCGAGTCATATTAAAAAACCGGAAATTTAAAACTCGGTCAAAGCCGGTCAAAAATCGGGTTTGATCGGGAAAAAATCGGTTTTTCCGGTTCAACAGTAATTTTTTTTTAAAAAAATTCAAACTTTTTAATATTATGTTTTGACCCCCTAAATTGTTAAAACTTATTGATATACCTCAAATATTTGATACTTTATAAATATTGTCCTAAAATTTGATGTTATTTTTCAATTAAATTCATAATTTTAATTCTAAACTTGTTAATATTTATTAAATAATATAAACTGCTACTTGATTGTTCTAATTTTTTTGTATTTTCTTGTTAAATATATTTGAAACATCAAATATATATGAATATACCTTTATTAATATCAACATATTATTAGATATTATATATATAATATTTTAATTTTTAAATAATTTTTATTTATGACGTCATCCGGTTCGACCCCTATCGACCCCCGGTCGAATCCATTGACCCCTGACCTCGGTCGAGTCACTATCCGGTCCGGTTCTGAAAACATAACTTAGAACTCTGTCAATTTTCGACGCGGCCAATCACCATTTCTTCAACCAAATCTTATCCTTAGTACAGAATCTCCATTTCCGTATAGCATAAAAATTTGTTATTTACGTCAAACTGATTTGCATGTGATCGACTTGTGTTATAAGTTTGTAACTCAGTATCCCAATCACAATACACAGTTCCAACATATTTATACAACTTGATGTAAAAAAACTCAACACACCTTAAAAAAGGTGTTTGCGGCGCCTTTTTTCTTTTGTCAATTACTAGATTTGATACCCTAAAAGAGTCAAACGAGGTGGGTTTGAGTTGAAGATACTTCAAAGAGTTCCAAATAATTGTACTGCATCCGAATTTTTTAAGGATGAAATTTAACAGTAGAAACATTTTTTATTCCGGCAATCTTGGCCTTGGTACACCAGCTAATTAAGTTCAATTAATTCATGTGAATGCTTAAATAGGGAATAGATGAGACTGCCTTCAACGCTTGCTCAAAACTCACCTTTTGATTTTAAAATGCTTGTTTGTAGATTGTGATGTCTCTTGATCTAATTTAATGGCTTTGTCATGTGCGTCATTGATTAGGAAACTGGGGTTTAAGAGTTATGAATCTAACCCTCCAAAGTCATTCTTAATTGTTCTCATTCGGACGCAAAATGTCAATTGTTCAGACATGCATGTTTTCTGTCTAGTTGTTGGACTTGGGGCACTCCTTCAAATCTATGCTCAAGATTCCATTTTACTTATTAGTTCCATTCAAGAACTCAAAAGCAAGTGGAATCATTTAAATCAGTGCACCTCACCAGGCTGATCGGATCTATGTAAATCATAATATGTTGGACTTGACGGTATGCAGTCAAAGAACGAGGGCAGATGACGACCATTAGGATTTGATATGAATATTTCTTTCAGAGCTAACTTTTCCCTAGCTAGGTCATTTGCATTTACACTGCTGGTGTAAAATGCTAATCTACGTACATGTACTAACAAGATTGGATTAAACCATTCTCCACAGATTTCCCTTCACAATATCTCTATCGTTCCAAGTTGTTCTTCTGTGACAACCGAACAAGAACTCTGGCAAACAATTTCTCGAATTCGCTGCAAATAAATTGAAGGCATCCATCACCGTTTAGCGCACAATATCTTGATAAACAAACATCAGTATGTTCAGTTGTTAGCTAATTTAGGTCTTTGAATTCCGTTGTTGTAGTAATATAGAAGGAAGATTAATAAAATGCTTACCTTTCCATGACTACGTACAAACTAAAAAATCAAAAGGCGTACAAACGTTTGGAAAACAAGCCGCTGATTTGACAGAAGAGGAAAGGAAAAGAAAAGAAAAAAGAATTCCCATCGTAAAAATTTCAGTTGCATGCTTTTGGTCTAAGTTATTTCATACACATTGAAAGGTCAAACCTAGGCCGTCGTGCCTATGCGTTTACACCGGCTAAACAGTAAATGCTCTACTCAACTCATTCACAAGCTTATGTATTCTTAATTCTCCAACGTGGGAGTTGTTGAAACAGAAATACTTTTACTTTTCTGAATTTTTATTCTATTCTTAAGCCTATTCTAAAGTTGCCGGCATATTCTTAAGGATGGCAATGAGACGGGTTTGGGGCGGGGAGTTGCCAAAAAAACTCTCCCCCGTTCCCCCCACTTCCCACCTTGTCCTGCCCTACTTCTTTCGCGGGATGTCCATGGGTAATAATTTTTTTTTTGAAACTTTTATTCAATAGATCAAAACTAAATTCAAAGAGTAAAATGAAATACGAAATTGAAAAAGTGAAAAAGTGAAAAATGAAACAAGAAAAGGGTTGAAATAAAACGTCAAGAAAATTAAAAAACTCAAATGAATTGTATAGATAACATTTGAAAATACTCATAGAACGCGTAACATGCTTGTATTAAATATCAACTAGGAATTTGGATGAAAATTAAAAAAGGTTATGTTTAATTCCAAATATTTTAAGTTTATTATTATTAGATTATATAATATATTACATTTATTTATATTAATAAATTGAAGCGGGGACGGGGCAGGGGTATCGTCCCCCGCACTCCCCCCCCCCCAAAAATTAAAACAGGGGAAGAAAAATTCCCTTTGTCCCTGCGCCATCACTCCCCCCATGGGGCGGGCACCCGCCTTTGTTACCATCCCTCCATATTCTGGAAATGGAATTTGAAGCTAAAGCATATGCTTTCAATACAAAACCTAAGAATTAAGACTATCTATTGAAATTTAAAAGAACATTTGCTTTGTCTTTGCTTTGTGTGGTGGTGCATGACCTAATTCGAATATGTCTTTCTAGCTAGCAGATTAGGGTTGTAATCCGATCGTACAATTGAATCATTAAGTGTAACATTACGCTTTAAAAAAAACTAATGATGGGTTTAAGCAGACAAAAACTAAGCAATTAATGAGCTTCAAATTATAACTTATCCGAATTCTTACCGTTAACCTCACTGGCTGGAAACAGTACATGTGCTAGTGTTCCTTATAGATTGATCCAAAATTGAGGAGGCCAGCACATTCTTCTTCTCCAGCAGATTTCAAGAAACGCGGAAATGAACCGTTGCAGAACCCCAAAAATGCACTTCAGTTAATGCAAGTAATTAAAGCAGGTGTATTTTATTGGAGTCTAAGTTGTGATATATTGAACCTCAAACAAAGAAAAAAAAAAGGGATCTATATGGTTTTGTGATATTGTTGTAACGCAAACTTCACAGCCTCACGTGGACAGCCAACAAGAGAATGCTGGTTGTTCTTTTTTTTTATTCACTCAGGCTCACTTTTTTTTATAAATAAATAAATAAATAGATAGTGCAGTTAGTTAGCAGATAGTTGCAGAAGTGCATATGTGCCATCTCTGGGAAAATGAACGAGACTCTCTCTAGTCCCGGCAGAGGACAATATGCAACCATTGACAGCAAATGCAAGCGATCTTCTGGTTCAGTGCCTTTTTATGGTACTTGAAACTCTTTAACTTTTCCCACCGTCAACTCACCAATTCTGATCATTGTCGATCTGTCTGGATCAGGTTGCCAATACAGACACGACTGCTTGTCAAAGGAGACAGAAAAAAGTGGTACCATCTTCTGCTTTCAAGGTGGTGATTGATAGTGAAAGTGATTGATTAACTGCCATGAACTTGACATCGACTATCACCAGCAAAAGACATAACATGGTCTCATTATCATCATGGAATTTAAGCATGATAATATCTAGCCAACAGAATAATTCGAAACAGAAGCACACCAACAATATCCTTTGAATCAGAAAATGATTCATGGAAGATGTTATCAGTCACCATCAGTTGCTCTTCAGAAAGTCGGTGCACCACCAATCACTGGTTAGGATACGCGAATGGCCCAAGTAATTGAGCCCATCCTTCTTCCCAAAAACACCTGAAGATTATGGTGCGCCGCATTTCAAACATGGCAGAAATCGTTGTAAAATCAAGACCGTCACAACAGGACTCAAATACACATAAGATTTAAGAAAGGAAAAGAAAATGTTGTAATTTAATCCAAGAAGTCCTCAAAGCTACATGTACACATTGTGATCCTTTGAAAGTAATCAAAGAGTATATACAAACCACCCTCCCGAGAGGCTTCCCCATATGACAACCATTGCATGTTGTCCAACGAAATAAGAGTATTACATGGTTAGCTGTCAAAAGAAAAAAAAAATCACAAGGCAATTCTACTCCTGATAATGTGTAGGGCTCCATGTTTGTATAGAGGGAAAAAAAAATCATCTCCAGGGTTTGTTAAATCTCTTCTGGTTAGTATACAGGTTTAGACATGTTCCTCGCCGTAGGCTTCCTCATGGCCATCTCCGTTTTCTTTGCTCAGCTTAGATTTTGGTAACAAGAATGAAGACTGTCTGGAAGACGTTATCACTGATTGTTGCTGGGAATGTAAATTAAGGTATGTGTAGAAAGACATACCCCCAAGAGCAAACATTGCTCCCAAAATACTAGTAAGTCCTGGGTTAGAGCCAAATATGAGGAAGCCACCAAGAAGAATAACACATGTTTTGAACTGTCCCAGGACCACATGGGTGGTTGCAGAAGTAGCCCTGTGTTAGTGTTGGCAGAGGAAGAACGCACAATTAGTCACAAATAACATATATGTCCAAACAAGTAAACCACATGTTTTTTTTGTCAACCAAAGCTAAAGCAAAACAACAAATCTAATAAGAAATTTTAACAGCTAAAGCCTGATAAAAGTTTTATCATCGCCTTAAACTCTGTCAGCTAAAGCAGTCAAATTGTAGGAGGAGTTTGCAAAAGTAAAATCAAAACTATAAGCATCACTTACCCAAGTGCCAAGGCACCTGACCACTGAAGCAAGAAACCAAGAAAAGCAGAACCACCAATAATTGCAGAATTATGAAAGTTCCAATTAAAGGAAAGGACCCCAGGTGGATCAAGTGAAGGCATCATCATCAGCAAAAAGAACAAAGTGATAGGTGTCGTCTTCCACATCAACCTGCACATTTATCTTTTCTGAAATTATATTCTTATAATAGATTGTCGAAGAACAAACACAAATTCCAAGGCCCTAGCTTTTTGAAAATTTTTGCCACAGAAATGAAGAAACCAATTCAACATAGAGATTATGATAATTTTTTCTTTGGTAACAGCAAACAATGATTACAGCTCAAGAGCTGATCGTGATACAAATAAAAGTAGAAACAGAACTTGAAACTTTCTAACAACTTCAGAATAAAAACCAAAGCAAAGTAAGATTATTTTGGCCAACGATGTCCACAAGTAATTACTTTTGCACCGAGAAATTTTGGACACTAATGACAAACCAAATCTCATGAAAATTTAATTTGTTTGGATGAAAAGCAACAATTATAACCGCTTGAAACAAACAATCCTAAAGTTCAACACAAAGAAAACAAAGAAAAAGAAAAAGAGACTAAACAGAGATTTAGCAGGATTATGTAGCATACGCCATAGCAGTCCAGTTCTCCTGTTGCTGAAGATTGGACCAAAGTATCTTATTGATTGCACTAGGTATTATCCACGCCAATGCAACACAAGCACCAAAAAGATGAAATTGAAGATCAGTCACGGTTGCAACAGCAACGCCAATCGAAACTACAGCAAGCGCAAGAACCTGGCGAGAAAATCAAGAACTAAAACCTCAGCAAAAGATATGGAAAAAAGTTTTCTAGGTAATACAAGTGTACGAGCACATGATGCATCCAATGCAAGTGGCTACAACTTCTTGTAATAAAGGTGAGAAAAAGCTACATGCCATCTCAAGTGCCTCCAAAACAAAACTGAGATGATGCTGACAAACTCCACAATGTAATTGAATGTTAAAGCTCACAATTAAGATAAATCTGAATTGCAATCAAAATAACCAGAGGAAAAAGTTCAAAATTACTTAATTGACGTAAAAGGCATAGAGAGAACGAAAGGACTTGATAAAAGCAAATTGATATAAACTCTAATTTAACTGAATCTAGGAAAATTGTTTGCAAGTTCACCAAAAAAATGCAGACGTTACTTAAACATCATGAATGAACTCTTGCACATCAAAGGTCATTAACATATAACTCTAGCCAAGGGAATCCTCAAAGGTGGGAGCAATGACTTGTGCAAACAAGTAAAATAAGGTCTGATGACAATCAGCAACATTTTGGTTCTTTTGAATCATTATGTATGTGAAAAAAGAATATTTCTACAATGCATATCCGTAAAGTAGAGTTGAACTGCAAGTAGGAGTTATCAATCTAAAGAAAGCTCAAACTTCCTTTCGATCACTGTTTTAGAATTGCAAGTAAACACATTGCAATCTTCAATTCTCTTTGGAAGCAAATACATCACATTCTAAAGTCATACATTTTCATGTTCAAAATTTTAGGTCTTGGTTATTAATGTCCAGCCTCAACAAATTCATTTGCTAAACAAGCAATTTAGTTGTTTCACATTTTATCAGCATTCTAAGTGAAAAACTGTTTAGTATTCTCCATTTCAAATGCACACAATTAGCATTTTTCTAAACTAAAATCCGGAAAGAGAACCCAGGACTACGTTTGGTCCTATCGAAGGACTACATTATAGCAACAAGAATCTACCTTCAAGAAAGAGATCCTTTTGCTGAAGAGTATGAACTCAGCTAACACAATTGCTGGTGTGACTGCAATCTTAGCCATCTGATAAAACCCAACACTGAAAATATGCATTTTGATTAAGACTTAAACAAGTGAAAGGCATGATTACTGAGAAAGTAGATAATATATATTGCAACCTTACCTATTATACTTCAAGCTAACATTTGCAAGACCAGTTGAGAGGGACATAACAATACCAAGAGACAATAGGGAAGAATATTTAGTTGACTTTGGTGGTGAAGATAGAGAAAGAATGGATAAGGCCTTCAGAACAGCCATGATCAACCAACTACATATGTAGTGTATAAAGCTTAGAAAAATTGGATAATTAAATCCAACTTTAACAAGCACCTGTAAAATTCATCAGACAAAAATGTAAAAATAATAACCAAAAATATATTGGAATTGTACATCAATCTGATTCATGGGAGAGGAAGAGTTGACCAACCAACTTGTTCATCAAAATTATACTGACAGACACCAAAAAGTTAAATGCAAGAGCAACAGGAGGCCCAAGTGATGTCTGCTGACGCTTCCCACCTCCTAACGACCTTAACTTGCTAAATAAAGAGGATCGCACTTCCTCCAATGCTCTTCCTACATATGTTGCAATCAATGTACATTTATATGAGAAATTTTCAACAAAAAAAAAATCTCATAACAACCATACAAAAGTGCAAATTTTTGGATTAGTAAAGAGGCTTAGAAAGATGCCCTGTGGAAACTATGGTTCTGACCAGCTATGAATTTAGGTCTAAGAGTAATTTTCACAGATAAACTATCAAAGCATAGAGTATACATAGTTCTTATTGCAGCTAGGAACTAAAATCAGGAATGATTAAGCAAATTTCAGCTAAATACTAGCATCAACCAAAGAACACATAAGTTTCACAAGAATTTCTAAACAGGTTCTTCTCTGAAAAAGGAAAACAGATATTCCTTCACATAATATTTACATAGTTGATTCGAAAACAGAAAAGGAGGGGGTCAAGTTCTTAAAGTCCATTTCAACTACATGTCTCACATTTTCAGTCCACAAATAGCTAGTAGTAGTGATGCATCAGCATCAGTAAGAACTCACTCTTACTGAGTAGCATACAATATGTTGACAATGAGACCTCCCACCTCAACCACGGAAAAATATAAATAATAAATAAGTAATAAATAAAATAAATCAGAAAAAAATGCTGAAATAGTTGCTAGGCCTTAATTGAGTAGCACACGATATGTTGACAGTGAAACTCCCCACCCAACCATCCTGATCAAACTTGTATTTTCTTAAACAACGAAAAAGTTACATATGTTAACAATTAACCCCGCTAACACAAAAGTCTAGCAACTATCTCAGACGAAAATGAAGCACCAAGTGAAGATGAAAAACTTTTAAATATGCATGTCAAATGGATGAAGCAAATTATAATAGTTGCATTCCCAAAACTATGAATGGTTTCATCTAACTTCAATACAGTAAAAACTAGCCGTTTCATACAATTCATCCTGTGACCTGAAGTTACCTATTTCCTAATTAAGAGATGAAAATGACATAAAATTGGTTCTCAAAAGAGATGAAAATGGCATAAAATTGGTTCACTTTTTGAAGCCTCGTCTTCGAACTATACTACTAAATGAACATTGCTTTAGTCAATCAATATCTTCGCTCAAAGCAAACTCATTTCCTAACGTGCTTATTAACCAAGCAGCATAACTTTCAACACGCCAAAAAAATGGAGCTCTTTTACTCATTTTCTTGAAGATCAGTCATATTAATTTAATCATAGAAATTTTTTTTTCTCCAATTAGTAAGTAGATGTTAAGTGCTAACTGCAATGCCCATATAAAACAAAACTTCTGAAAAAACGCGAAAAGAAAAGAAGAAAAGAGGAAAGAAGAAAGCTTTGATTTTTATTTTTTAATTTTTCATTCTAATCTTTGCTAAAACAGAGCATATTGGCAAAAACCCGTAGAGTCAAGTCAAAGAAAAATGACAAAGACTGCATACTCGCAATCAGAAATGCAAGCAAAAGAAACCAGAAACAGAGAATCTCTTCAAAAAAAAATTTATATATATATATAAATCAAAAGAAAGGAAAAGAAAAGGGAGTGAAGTAGAAGAGTACCTCTTTCACCAGCGTCACTGTCCTTGCGCTTGAGAATTTTTCTGACATCTTTTCTGATCAGAAAGCCCAGCATTTCTCCCCCCCACTGATGTAATGCAGATTCACAGCATTCGATTTTTCAGAGCTTTTCTTCTTTGGTGCTTGTTATACAATTATTATATTCAGATGGGAATACACCAAGAAGGGGAAAAACAACGAGAGGATACAAAGTAGCTTCTAATAGTACTACTACTACTACTAAACATCCATTCTAGATTATATTCTACTATGCTGAAAAGAAGAACTGAAAATGCGTAAAAGGGTGTGCGTCTGAAAGTAAAGGGCTGCTAAAAGATAAGAGCTTGGAGAGAAAAATGAGTAGCGACGAGAGGATTTGGCGGAGAGATTTGGGGGAAGTGATTGGTACAACAGATGAAGCGTGAAGTACAAGTCGCACTAAAGATGACGGATGAGTTTAGATTTGAGAAAAATGAGGAAATCACGGGACAGAAAGATGGACCTCATCACTCAGCACCGACCGACACTTAAATCAGACTAAATTCAGAGAGAGAGAGAGAGAGACAGTGTGTGTGCGTGTGAGGAGTCAGGAGTGTAGTGTAAGTGTAGTGGTAGTTTACGGCTTTACCTTTGCCTAGTAGTGGGGGAGACTGAGAGTCCAAGTTGCAGTCAGCGGCTTAAGTTTAATTAAGGTAGTTTGTTACAAGCAGACAATGGTTGATACCCACACAGGCTTCAACTCTACACTACTCTTGGGGCTGCCAACTGGACTTTCGTTCCAAGCAATGTGGACCACCCACATTTCTGGTTCCTTGTACATTTCGTCCATTTTCTTTTCTTTTCTTTTAAGGGATATTTTCTTTTCTTTTTAAGGGATAACTCTGTTTGGATACTGAATATTATTTAAAATAATTATTGTAATATTTTTTTATAATATGATGTATGTGAGATAAAAATATGATTGAAAATATAAAAATGTGAGTTGAAAAATATGTTTATGATACAAACGAAATATTATTTAAAAAAATGGAATATCCAAACAATATTTTAACCGAGTTTCAAACCTATAAGTAACCCAATGGGTGTTAAGAGTTAACTTTGGTGCGAATTAGTAGAATCTAACCTCTTCGTTTGATGTTCTGCATTAGTGAAAGAAGTGAAATTGATTTTTCTCACGTTAGGTCTATATATATGTACATTTTTTTGTAATTGGTCAGTTGGTAATTATTGATGTTCTTTGAGTCAGCAAAATGGAGGACAGACATGGAACTGAGTCAACAAATTACACCTTGAAAGAAAGATTTGATTACCAATGTCGATGAACGCCGGAGCCCCTCCTCATATTTGAGCATTTAAACCCTAACCCCCCCCTCCCCCCTAAACAAACACAAAAACGCAAAGAAAGGGTCATCATTTAAGTAAACAAGTCTTTTGATTGGTGATTACTTTACCTTACCCTACACATTCACATATGGGGGATTCCATTCCAAGCATAGATAATCATAGAATAGATAAGAACCAAGGAAGAATATATAGTTGATTGACTCAAAGAAAGGTCTTTTGTGCTTATCATCACATCCTACATTAAGCCACCAAATTTATCTTTTCAAGATAATACCGGACCATATCCCATCTTGACCTTCGATTTTTCAGCTTCGGGTAGCAAGTATTTTATTCAGTAAAGCGTTTGAAAGTTTTTACCATGCAAAGTTTTAGAAATAATGGTTGGAGTTGGAGTTGGAGTTGGGGGCGTTGTTCATGAAATTATTGGAGTCATATAGCCTATAGGCGGATCAACAATAGATTACGCAAACGGAGAGGCATTGGACAACTGTAGGCCTGTCCGTTCCCGCTAATCATAGCTCAATCAAAGGAGGAAAAAAAAGAAAAGAAAAGAAAAGTGAGTCACATTATAAAAGGTTATCAAAGGTGGACAATCAAGAGGAGGGGCCGATTGGCTTATGTGATAAGAGGAATGAATTGTAAATAAAAAATTTAAAATTTAAGATCTCTCACTTATTATTTAAAAAAAAAAAAAGACGGAGGACTATCAAGTACTTTCAATACTGCCTCACATCACAATGCTTTTTTTTTTTGAGGGAACACATCACAATGGATTTCAAGAATCTTAATTGTCTAAGAATTTATTGCTTTTCCGGACAATATAAATGGACCACTGCAAAATGGACGAAATCAGCAGAAGATAGTTTCCCTTTTTGATTTGAGTTGAAGATGGGTTCGGGTACAAGCAGCAATTTCATGATGTATTGAGCCATTGTGGGGGTAGGGAGGTAGATGGGCGATGGCGATGACACACCAAGCAAAGAATTGTAAAGACTCAATTGCATGAGGAGTCAACAACAGATGCATGTGATGATGTGAAGCCTGACAAACTGAATCCATTAACTGTGATCCTCAGTGCAGTCTGTGGTGTTCAAGAATCGGTGAGTCTCAAGCATCACGGGAAGAAGAGCCGATATGAGCAATAAAACAAAATTGAGGTACCATTTCTGACATTTTGGGACAAATGTCACTCGACAGTGATCAAATTATACTTTTGTCTTGAAAACAAAAAAGAAAAAATTAGCAGGGGAGGGGATGAAATTTACGAAGCAGGGACCTCAAATTGTACTTGACCATCTCATCTAGATCTAGTGCTCAATAAAATTTGGCTGCCCCACGTCTCATGCACCATCTAACCATTATCTTCCCACGGATACAAATTCAGGAAGCAGCCACCTCATAGCATCAACAGCTCAAAAAGTGCTGCTGATCATGAGTTAAAATTTTGGGAAGCTGAGGTGAAGTTGTTTTTGACCTCCACCTTTTTGACTGGCTTTTTTTTCAGCTTATATCCGAAGCCGCTTGTGTAAATTACAGAATCTAGCTTGTTTTCATTTGCACGCTAAAGACTATTGTACATGGCTGTTGGTACATGATTCTCCATCCATAAAGGTGTCACCAGGTGATCGTAACCAGCCATATTGACAGGGATAACAAAACTCTATCTCGGAGGGGCGTCTATGGTTCCCAGTTTTCTAAGCCCCGCGAGAGAATTTCTGGCTCAATTTCTTTACACGAAAAATATCAATTGTACAAAGCATAAAGGGTGTCAATAATGTTTCATCAAAGAACCTTGTCCAGCAACTAAAGTTGCATAAATTAGTTCATTCCAGGCGTCGGGTACCCCAGGAAGACACCAATGGCTGCAATCTTGCCTTTTGGCGGAGACCTTTCGTCCACCAGTGACATTCTTACCATACACGGATGGGTGGCCATCTTTCCTAAAGTTTGTTAATCTCGTTATATTCAGGAGACACACCGGGACTTTCATTTCCTGGATCACTTCCTCCACTATCTTCATTTTTAAGGGGTAGCTATCTAGGATACTCCCAGTTACAACAGGTTCCGTCTCCCGTATACATGTTCCACCAGAATCCCAATCTCCACCTCTGTAAAACGAAAATGATGCCTAAAAAGTTAAATCTTTGTTATCTCTCTAACGCGTTGAAAGGATATGAACATTCTGTATGAATTATTTCGAAACTGCAGTTTACGTTTAAGGACCGAATTACTTCCATGCAGTTCTTCTATTTTATTGTTTTCTTTTCTCTTTTGCTTTCTGCAAAGAAATGAAGCTACTTGTACTTGAAAAATATAGAAGAGGAGAACCCAAAGAAAACAGAAACAGGGAGTACAAATGAAAATAATACTGATGCGGCCAAGTTTGCAGAAGTGGAGAAACCAACAACCTGACGGTAAAAATAAAAATGACAAGATTGATGCAGCCAAGTGAGTCAGCTACTATTAAGCCCAGCCTTAAAATTCGATCCTAAGATGTTTCTGTGGCAGCAAAGAATTAAGTAAATTTGGGAGAGAGAGAGAATAAATCAGTAGTGAAAGGAGGCTCTCCTTAAATAGTCTCTATCCTATTTGACAAACCTATGCAAGTGTGAAAGGCTTTCTAGAAATGGTTTTAAGTTTTGAGTACCTGAAATGAGCGGATGAGTACCCACGATAAAAGATCAGCTTTCCTCTCTTCATGTTATTGTCAACCCACTTTGACCATGTCTTTATAGCTCTTCTATAAGCCTCCACAGCATCAAATTTAGGATAGATGTAGTTCCCCTCTTTGTAATAATTTTGCCTACGTAATATCAACAGACATCAGCTGCATGTCTAAAGCTCCAAATTGTCTACGCTTATTCAGCAGAAGAGGTTGTGTGTTGTTTCATGTAGGACGAATGCACTTAATTACCCAGCTAAACTACACTTGAAACATCTTTCAAGTTCCATGACCTTGTCCACTACTATGTGTAGCACACTATGAGCTAATCACATTGTAATTATGGTATCACTCTATATACACTCAGTATGGAAGTTTCTGATGCCATCATACATGGCATACTCCTATTCCTCTAAGCTTTGCATGTGAAGTCACGATGAGAGTTCCGTACAGTTTTAAACGCTTAAAAGAAGCAAAAGAAAGAAAACAGATGAGAGTTCAGAAAGAACAGATGACAGACTAGAATGATACAGATGTTGACTTACCCTCTAGCAGTCTTCCCATGAGTCCACCAATGAGCAGTATTGAAGACAAGAATGTCAGCTCGCTTCCATCGGCCAGCTGACTTGTCTATGCGGTCTATTGACAGAGTTGGATTTGAGTTTCCTTGTGCATTGATACGAATTCCTTCCTTGACAAGGAAATGAGATCGTACAAATTCCACTGTGCAGTTATAGTCCTGCCCATCGATTTCATGAGTGTGCCTATTAATCAGTACTATCTACATGATGTATTCTTTTATAAAGATCAAGACAGAAGAAAAAAAAAAGAGGGAAAAATGTTAAAGAAGCATGTGCTAGAAATGCAACAGACAAATGCTACATGAGGAGCTCCAACAAACATATATTGCGGCACCTTTTTTTCTCCTTTTTTGTTAGTTCTTTTTTGTTTTTTGTGTTGGTAATCCAATAAACATTATTTGGATCAAAATCATTTATACAGGCTAAAATTTCAGATAGGCATTCCAGTTAGTAATTACAGATTCTGAAAGGGATTCTCCACCAATTACTGGCATTTCACAGATCATGAAACACAATTGTCCTTTAGGGCATGGCATCTCTTTCAAACAAAAAGCAAAATGATCCTTATTCAATCAGCCATGTTTATGATCAGAACTGCAAGATCACGTAACTAACCTCAAATTTGAAGATGTAATAGCCTCTCCCCTTTGTTATTTTGTATCCATG